TATACCTTGCTACGCGGCTCGTAGCTTATCAGCATCTTCACATGCTGCTTGTCCTGGCAGTGGCTGGCAGGCAGTGGCTGGCAGCTTGTCCTGGCAGTGTCTGGCCGCGGCTGGCAGCGGCTGGCAGCGTCTCCTTCTGCCTTTCTGTTCTTTTATCTCTCCTCTCTGTTAGTCCCGCCTATACTTCCTGCCTAGCCACGACCAATCAGGTTTTATTTATTAACCAATCAGAGCAACTTGACATACAGACCATCCCCCAATACAGCCAAGTGCAGACCATCTCAGACACCTGCACTCAGGCCCATGGTCCTAATCATCCTCTATGCAAACCTGCTGGGTAACGCCACAAAGAACCCAAGAAGGGCTCCCACAAGACATACATTAACATCCCACAGCAACCTAGGGTGGTGGAGTTGAAGAGGAAGGAAACAAGAGAAATTCCTCAGTAGATTAAGACTGGTTCTAGCTTGATGGGGTTGTATTCATATAAGCATACTCATTTGTCAATGCCACTGACCTGAACTCGAAACATATTTGAACTATTTCTGAATAGAAATGATTTTTCATAGCCGAGTCCTTTGAAAGTGGGCATGAAATTGTCAGTTGTTTTAAGATCTTTTTGAGTTACTTGGAGAAAGAAGCCTAAAGCATTTTTCCTGGATAGGATTTTTAAAAAACAAGACACAGAAATATGAAAAAGCAGTGTGTTCATAGAAATCAACACAATTAACAAAGACACTAGAAAGAATTTGTAAAATTTAAAATATAGACAAAACCAGCATGCTGGAAATGCTATCAAATAAAAACTTAGTACAAATTTTAAGCAGTTCACTGATATTAATCACATAAAATTTTGAATCACTGAAGATAAAAATTCTTAGAGATTAAACAAATAGTGGACAGAATTAAAAAATCCTAACAAAAGTTTCTCATTAGCAAAATAGTACAATAAAAGGCAGTTGACAGGCATTCAAGAATAGATTAAACTTTTAAATAAATATTGCATTCATAAATAGGAAGACTCAATGTGATTACATAATTATTATTTCAAAATTGTGCTGAATATTCAAGATAATTCATTCAAATATAACTAAAGTTATTTAAAAGAAGTTGGGAATCTGTATTAAACAAAAAATACATACGACTCAGACTGATTTTTAGAATTCTTAATATTGCAGCAAACTAAATACAAATGAATGGATTAAAAAACTGCATTTGAAAAATTAAAATATTGACTGCAAGTTGACTTAGAATTATATTTTAAATGCAAAATGATAATGAAAGGAATTCAAATCAGCACTATTATGTTGTAAAATTTTATAGATATTTATTTTGAAAATAAAGTGTGACATCACACAATCATGTACAAGAATATAGAACATGAAGTAATCATCCATACAAACATATATTAGTACAGAGATTGGAGAAGAACAAGAAAACTAGACAATACACAATATCTCAGAATTTTCTTTTCAATTACACATCACAAAGGATTCAGAGACAATTAGCAGAACTTTAAAATGTCATATTACTATGCGAATATATGAATGATGTGTGCAGCTATTATCATATTTGTTTAATTTTAAACTATACTTTTATAATTATTTTGAGTCAAATAACAAAGTGATTTCAAATTTTATAGTACTCTAAACAAAACTTTACTCAATATTTTGTTGTAATGTCTATTAGGTGTGTTTACTTTTCTATATACTTATCAAGAATCCTCAGTATTCACTTATACATACTTGAAGCATTTTGCCACAGGTAATATAGATGGGATGGGGAGTCAAGAGCATCTTGTGATCTTAGTCCTGGTTACTTACTGACATGGATGCACTTGAGTTGAGGTGACCAGCCGTTCTCTGTACATGTAACTGTGTCTTGACCATTTGGAAGACTGTAGCCAGAGTAACAGTTGATTTTTACAGACTGGTCCTGTATGAATGATCTTTGCCAGGATAAATATTCCCCATTCTCCACTTTATGGATAACACATTGTCCTAAGAACCATAAAATGATAAATTAAAAACAGAAAAATATTCATTTATTCAAAAAACTAAATGAAAACTTATCTTTACAACAGTTAAATGAGCATGTGTGACATTCAAAAATAAAACCAATACCAAATGTTTTAAAAAGTAGCATTTATCTTTAACTTTTATAAATAAAATATACACACAATAAAGGTGTTATCATAGTCCTTACTTCAGATATTCATTTCATGAAGAGCTGCTCATAAAGGACAGAAGCTAGTCTTTTTTGCTCATAAGCTCTTGTTGGTCTTATTTTTGTCATCATGGACTTAACTGTAATTATGCATGTGCTCTTCTCTTTCCACTCTTCCATGGAATTAAATGTGATCTAATGCAGACATTGACTTACTGAGGCATGGAACTGCAGGCTCCCAGCCTTGTCCAGTGCAGTAAATGCGGTCCCAGTCATTCCTCGAAGGAGCCAAAAATCCATCATTGCAGCGATAGTAGAACCACTTGCCTATAGATACTGGGAAGTAGGGTCTGTGTCTCTCTTCATTTTCTAGATATCCATTTTTGATTTGTGGAAAAGCACAAGGTTTCACTTGTAATAAAAAAAAAAAAGATAGAAAAACACTCCTATCAGGGATAAGCTATTTGATCAGTGAATTAATTTCTATTAATTATAACTTCATGTTTAGAGAATGTCTAGGAGAAGGAGACAAATAGGTATGTGAGGAAGTCTTTCCTCATGAAATCAAGTTATACCTGACAGACCATCAGAGGAGTGGCTCAGGGATATTTGTTAATACCCAATATGATAAATGCTTATTTACAAATTGAAGCAGAACTGAAATCTAATGTGATTACACCATAGTGAACTATTCTTGTAACTTCATATTGAAGTGCTATATTGTTCATTGTATTAATAGGTTTATATGTAATGTTTCATTAAAATTTTCCTCTTTTTTTCTTATTTATAAATAATAAGTACTTTTAATATCAAAATAGTATTAATTTTTCTATGAAGTATGATTCTACTTCAGGAACCTTCATGCAGTGTGTTAAAAGAATTCCAATACATGCCCAAATACACAAATCTCATAGCTTCCTTATTCTTGCACACATACATTTCTTACATGGTTTATAAATTTAAATTATTTTTCTCTTGAGTGTTCTTTAAAATTTGAGAATTTTACTTTTCATAAGGTATCAAGAAATTAAATTATCTCACTGAGATTTCTTTTTAAAGGATACCAGAAGGAGACATTGTTTAAAATAGGGATAATATAGCCTCATAGACACATTCCTCTGCCTCTTTGCTAATCTTCATTCTCATGTGGGCAGAGATGAATCTGTCTTTGCCTCTTTTATAGGTGATTCCTCAAAATAAACCTAATATTCCTTAAAGTGCATGATTAGCAGAGGTGGTCAGTACTTAAAGTAACCTCATTTGAATCTTATACTTTTCCAGATGCAGGTCATGGCCCCATCAGCAGTGATGGTTGGTCCTTCACCATATTGATCCAAGCTACTCACAACATTGATTAATATCTATTAATTTTCAAATGCTTTAAATAAGTACTAGCACAATTCATTTATTGGCCTTTCCCAGGATCTTCTAATTGTTATTGATAAATTATGTCCCAACACAGATTCAACATGCACAAAAGATGAATTTGTAGACTCTCTCCTAATAAAGATTCATGATCATCATCCCTTGTATTGTTCTAGCTGTGAATTTCTACAATATTTTCCCCCAAACAGGAAACCATTTGATGAAAGAGATTAGTAGTTGAACAGGGTTGAGAAGAGAGTACTACACATTTTAGGTGGAAAAGGTATTTAATGAAATTACAGAGAAATTAGTCAACTTTATCTTATCTAGGAAAACACTAGAAATTCTGCAGTGAAAAAAACCTCAAGTTCAGATATCTTCAGTCCACAGACAGTCCAGATATCATTGGGGAGATCTATGGTGTGGAAACTCAACCATAATTGGGTTTGAAGTTTACTACACTATACAGATTCCATGCCTATAATTTTCAACCTACTCAAAAGCCCATGGCAGGGGTATCATAAAATTTAGAGGGAACTTAATTCTGTAATTGAGATAAATTGACATAACACTGAACAATCTTCTAAATATATATGTTAATATTTTAGGTAATCAACATTGTCAACATTAAATAGAGATGTCTCTCTTTTCCAGTAAACTATGATGAATGTAGAGATTTGTTAATGTACAAGGTACAGGGAATAATGAGAGTGTGCTCAACATTAAACAAGACATTTACACCATCCCTCAAAAGTTCAAGGAACATGTGAATGAAAGGGCACAAAGATTCGAAGAGCAAGACTGTAGTGATCATGGCTGTGAAATATGTTCTTCTGGCTTGTTCAGAGCCATTATAATCACAAACTATCAACTTCTAAAAATGTCTGCACTGAGTCTATCAAGAATGGGCCATCAGCATCCAGGCAAGAATGGAATAAGCTCTTGGGGAACTGTGGCACTCATCTCTGAACTATTTCATCTGATTGATTCAGAAAAATAATGGGAGTCAGTGATTTCAGCTGTATACCCACAAGTGACTAAACTAGGTTCCATAGACAGTACCCCAATCCAAGTGCTGCACATATGCCCTTTGTTAAACTACACGTACCATTCATCAAAACTCAAACTTGAGAATCTGGGAGAAAGACAGGCAAGTATGAAGTGTTATTGGTAGAGTTGGGGTGTGAGAAGAAGTTATGGAGATAGACTATCCAGGATGTTTTATATACATGTAAGAAATTGTCAAAATTAAATTTTAAAAAATTATAAAAAATCATTTTCCCTTACAATTCCCATAAAGTAATAATATTTCGTACTGAAAATAGCTTTTCTTTCCTATTATGATTTGGACCTCATACATTTCCTCAAATCTCACTTTAATGGAAACCTGGTTTCTCATTGCTGGAGCTATTGGGAGAGGGGGTAAAGTTCAGAAGTTGCTAGCTTGTTTGAAATAAGTCAGATCATTGGGGCTCTGCATTTGAAGGGGTAATGGGGCCTTGGCCATTCTTTTATAGCTAAGTTTCCTGGTGGGAAGGAGGCAAGCAGCTTTGATTTAGCACTCACTCCTTGACATAATGCTCCGCCTCTCACAGGCTTAAAGTGATGAGACTAGTTGACAGTGAAATCAAGTCACCAAAACTGTAAAGAAATCCTTCTTCTAAGTTATTTCTTCAGTAATACTGACAGAGACAGAACAGGGACTAAGAAGAGATCCCTGACCACTCTTTTGTCACTGTATTTGGGGGGGGGGGCTTAAGGGATACTAGGCTTAAGTATGGTATAGTTTTATCATGAATGTCTAGATAGTATGAAAGGAATATGGATATAGATAGGCAAAAACCTGAAAAGTATGGGAGAGGTATATTAGAAATAAAATACTCTTGACTCAAGTGATGCTGTGTGTGTGTTAAGAAGCCACTGAAGCCCTCCAAAGCAGCTCCCTCCAACAAAGATAACATAATTTCCCTCTTCATGTGTGAGCTGGACTCAGAACATGAAGAACTGCCATGCCAGAAACAATTGTGTGTGAGTAGATCACAGACAGATTCTGGGCCCCCACTGTCTCTCTGATCACTAACTCTAGAGCAAATGAGCTGTCATCAGGCAATCTACATAGAGGCTTATATGATAAGGAACTGAGAGCTCTTGTCAAAGCCTTGTGAGTGTGACATGTGGGACATAGGGCCTAATGCTTAGCAAAGGCTCCTGATGACTGACAGCCATGGCAGTCTCTGAGAGCACCACACTGATGCAGAGACAGTAGCTAAGTCATCCTCAAATCTGGACAACAGAAATGGGGAGACAATACAAGTTTGTTATGAAGCAAATATTTT